TACAGTCAGTACATTCATGTAGTAAGACCTTAACACGTTCTAAACACGTTTTAATCTGCTTATATAGGATAAGAGGGATATATTAGTAATAGGTATAGTAGTAGCAGCTTATAGTGTTACTAGTATAGAATATATTTAGAATAGGTTTAGAACGTGTTGCAAAATCTTATAGTATAATGTTTAGTTAACCTTGCTTAGCTAGCTAGTAAAGATGACAGACTGCAAAAGCCTGCAAAGACAGACACACCGGTAGCTCCCATGCGCCACCATGCAAACAATCTCAACCGGACCAGCCAGCTTACCCCATGATTCACCACACAATCTGCCCTGCCTAACCAATGAGTGAACCAAACATCATCATCGCTCTCCCATCCATCCCATCTACTCAGGTCACATTGTTCGACTTCAATTCCACTAAGAGACATTTTTCCATAGGGAAAAAGAATGGTATTGTTTTTCATAAAGCGGGTGTTTTGCCCCGCTGTCCAAACTAGTTTTTTGTTACTTTTTTTGTGTGGCTGTTCGTCGCTACAAAAAAAGTGGTTTTTCCTGTAAATGTTGTGTGCGGTACAGCAAAGTAACGTGAAAAGCAATTCCCCCCCTCCCGCACCCTGGTGCCCTAAAACCAATGTCTTGAAGAAGAAAAAAGGAAGAGAGAAAGAAAAAGATTTGGATATCGCCGTTCCGAGAGGAGAAGAGAAAGGAACGCCTATCCCTTGGTTTGATACCATTAATTACAACCCGGCTACAAGGAAGGCGGCAATCGAAAAGGAATGAATCGTCAAGTTTGAAATTCGGGACCAAAACCACCAGCATTGTTTGCCCATCGTGGTGGTTGACGAAGCATAAAGCATGGTGCGGTGGCGGAGCCAGAAGGTAGAAGGTGCGTAAAAAGAATCCCCAAGAGCCGAGAATCATGACCAGCCCCGAGGAAGAAGCATTAGACAATGCAAAAGGAAAAAAAGAGGAAACCTCCAAACCATCCTGGGGGTTAGGGTACAGCGCTGATGAGATGAACAATCGTAAAGGTGCAGTGCAGAACAAGCGGGCCAATGAACGGGGGACTCCGGGAAAACCCACAAACAATTTCGCTAGCCGTGCTCCAAACCAACAAAACCATGGAAAGACCCAGTTCTAGAACGTAATACCGAAAACAGCTAAGAGAAGGGGGACCCAATTGGGAACCGGGAAATTCTATCATGCAAGATGATCGCAAGCCTTTGTGCATTTTCGTGAGATCCGGAGGAGCGCGAACACGCGCGCAAATAGCGGCAAATGGACCCGATGGCTGTCCTCACAAACGCAAGTAGCCGGATCATGTGGTCTACGGCCTTGTCTCAAGTGAAGGGCGGCCAATCTGTATCCAGTGACTGGAAGAGGTCCAAGGCGCATGACGACGATTCCAGTAGACCACGATATTTTTTTTGGAAAAGGAGAAGAGTAGTAAACTTTTTTGAACAGATGAATCGCTGAGATGAAACGTCGAATATGTATCGGTGAAAAGGGGAATCGGTGCAGTGTTACAATGCCGTTGAACGGAAGGAGGACAGACTTTAGACGGCTACAGCCTGAGGTCCGTAACCAGGAGCCATGAAGTACGGCGGGTGGCGTTGTACACAGTAAGCGCAACTACAGCTGATACCATGCTGGTTCCAGGCCGAGCTGTTGTACTGCGCCGTGTACGCGGGCAGTCCGTAGTTGGTCGCATGCTGTTGCGAGTGTTGGGCAGCCGTGGGCTGAGACAGGGGTGGGAAACCGAACATGGTGCGACGCGAGTACCCTTCAATCGGACCCCAGGCTCCCGTTGTGCCATAGTACTCCGGAGTAGTGGGACCCGTGGTGGGTGCTGATGCAGGAGAGTGATCATTGGCAGACCTCCAGGGATCGTACTGGGCGTAGCTTGGAGTATTGTATGACGACTGCGTAGACTTTGGCGTGTACTCATACGGCAGGGAGCTGTAGGCTTGCTGCATGGGTAGCGGCGGAAGCGGCTTGTTGGGGTTGAAGGAACGTCGGTTGAAGGAAGTATCGATGGGACTGAGCTTGCTGCTGCGACTGGTGCGGACGGTAGCATGGCTCTGGTACTCCTTCCAGTGGTCCGACCAGAATGTCCAACCCTGTGACTCGGACGGGTCTCGATGGAGCTTGTAGTCAATATCGTTCAACCATTCCATCTCCAGCCTGTTCAACTCGTCGACCCGGATGCCACTGACTTCCGACCATGAACGGTTAATAAAGGTGTTGTCGTCGAGGAACTTGCTGCCCAAGACCAGTGCAATGGTCAGAAGACGGTACAGGTGGGTATCCGTCTTTGGTTCGCTGGTCAGCATGGGCATCCTGTTGGACAGATAGAACATGCTGAGCAGAATGGTCGCAGACGGCAACCTGGTTGCACACAGCACTTGGTGAACCCACTTGCGGAACGAAGGGGGCATCATGCGGCCAGGAGTGATGAGACGCAGCGCTGTCTCGCACACAAAATCGGTCATGACGTCCATGTCGTAGTCCAGCTTGGCGGAGACACCACCCACCGGCTTCTCTTCCTTTGCTGGCTGGCTCATGCGCTGGCTGTACTCTTGCGCGCGCTGTTGATGCATGGCAGCCTCGGCTAGGGAGTGGCCTGAGGGGACGCGCATGGGTGGCAGAACAGTGGCAGCTGCAGCATCGTAGAAGGAGCTTGCAGGTGGAAGGCTGGGCGGTGCGTTGCTCAGGTAGGTGCCAGCTTGTGGGTACATGGGTGGCATGGCCATTGCAAGTTGACCATAGCGGTCTGCGAAGTCGTAGCCATCATCTTGACGAATGGCAGGCTGGCTGGCGTAGCCGTTCTGCTGCTGGTACGAAGCCCCTCCGCAAGCAGAGTGGTAGCTAGGCACAAACTCTGGTGGTGTAAGCAGCTGCCGAGGCATATGCTGACGCGGGTAGAAGGACGGCATGATGATGATGATGGAGCTGTCGCAGAAGAACGAAGAAGACTGGCAAGGAAGCACCTGGAGGCAGAGGTTAGTCACAGTTTGCGCAGAGAGAAAAACAACAGCAATAAGAGGAACGGTGAGTGTGATGGTCGTGTTCTCCCGTGCGCAAGTGCGATGCGACGTACCGTCTTTTTCGTTCTTTAGCCGCTGGATGGTGGTGAGCTTGCGCTCTATTGTGAACTACGGAGGCTCTAGTAGGCTGCGGTCATGCACAAAGGAGAAGTGGTACTGGTACGGGACGAGATGGGTTTGTGGCAGGGACGAGAAGCGTCGAGAGATGGTAAAAATAGGCTGTCTCGCTCAGACAAAGCGGGCGTGAATGGGCGTTGCGGTGGCGGACTGGGGTGTGAATCGGTCGCTTTGGTTGTCACAACGGGATGGGATGGACAGACGGGGCGACGTGTGCAGGCCCAATGTGGACGACAGCGACAGCGCGTGCGTGGGCGCTGTGTGAGTAGGTGATGGAGCGAAACGTGGACCGGGGCGAGGTCTAAGTCAATAGATCGCCGGTGAGGTGAGGAGAGGGAAAGGGGAGCTGGCCGTGTCGCAGGTGAAGAGCGGATGGGTGGCTTGCCGACGGCAGAGTTGCAGCAGCACAGCAAAAACGAAGCTGGGAAGGTGCGAGACTCTGGAGACCGGGGAGGGGAGGGGAGAAAGAGTGCGGGTGCGGATGATGGGGCACGCGCAAGCAAAAGTCTCTGAGCGGGCTGCGTAGTTGGGTGTGCAGCACTGCCGCAGATTCCTGGCGAAGCTCGAGGGAGGAGAGGAGAGAGAGAGAGAGAGAGAGAGAGAGGGGAGAAGGTGGTGGACAAGGGAAGACCAAAAGTGCAAGGCAAGGGCTTGACGAGTTCACGAGGGTGCGGCCGAACGTGCACTGCAACTAGCTTGCTATTTGGGCGACAGGCACAGGGGGGTGGGGGGGAAGGGTGGGTCTGGGCGGCGGCAAATACCTAGTCGCAACAAGCAACAAGCGACAAAGCAAGAACTTCCAGTCACACTGGC